GTTAACAATTAGTCAAACAAAAAAACTTGCAGTTAATGCTCCCCACAACACCATATTAATTAACTCTAAAATGAAAACGAAAAAAATACTCCCACTTGAAAAATCATGGTAGCATTAAAATATAGAGATATTGTAAAATGTAAATAACAAATCCATTTTAAATGCAACATAACAAATTCAAACAGATTATTGGATCTCTACTCGCACACGTAGGATGCTGCATGTGTTCAAATTCACCAGTCATCTACATTTAGATATTTTTTTATTTAAATGTGATACTGAGATACAATTGGTTCATTTGTGTGTTTATGAAAACGAATTGAAAGCAACTTATACAAAAACAACTAGTAATAAATATATGCATTGCAATAATCTATTAAACGGTCAAATAACAGGATTCTGCAATATTACTACCCATGACTTATACTATTTTACATTTTTTACATATACAGAATCTATATAAACAAGTGAGATCTCTTTTTATTTCTGGTTACAAAAATCTCTCTGTTCTTCAACGTTCTCTAACTGCTCTCTTTCTTTCACTCCAATCAAACCGCATAAAGTTTCCGGTTATGCTTATGATCAACTAACTCAGGATCTGACATCATTGAAGCTGGTGAAGATTTAGAACCTTCAATCCGATTCGCAATCACCCAATAACACATAGTTCCAAGTGTTGAAACCATGATCAAAGCTCCAATAGCTGTTACACCAATAGCTAAAGGCTTCTCTTTATCTCCAACAACAACGAAAGAAAGCGATAAGAAGGCTATCGAGATCATTATGCAAGCCATCCACATGAGTTTGTTGATTATCGCCATCATTTGCTTCTTCGCTTTCCTCTCTATTACCACTACTGATGTCTGAACAACAACCACGGCTAAAGATATGAAGAGCGCGAAAGAATCAAACACGACAAAGATCAAGAACTCGGGTCTTGAAGCTGCTCTTGCTTCTCCAAGTGTATACCCTAAAGGAACGTTTTTCGGATCATCCGTAAATTGACCTGGAACGTTAAAGATAGCTGCGAAAGCTACGGTTGCTATGAGAATGGCGACAACGGTTGTGGAGTTAATCGCGTTGTTGAGTCCTTCCGTGTGCATTTTGTTGACCCGTTTAGCGATTCCTTGTATCTCTCTTCTTGTTCTCCCTGTTTGTTCGAGCTGAGTATGCACCTCGTGGCCTATTTCACTAACAGTTTCTTTCAATTTCCTAGAAGAGCCTGGTTCCGTTGCTGCGGCTGGCTTGATGGATCTTGCGTTCTGCATACCGATCTTCTGAAGCAGCGATACAATCTCGTGCAGTCCGGTTTTCTCAGCGATATCAAGAGCTGTTTCTCCTGATTTATTAACCGCCACTCTACTGATTTCATCATACTGTAAAACCGTCTGAACAATCTGCAAAGAAAACAAGAAAGATTCTAACTTTCAAACAACAATAACTTAACGATTACAATCTCAATTCAATCAATCAATTACCTCTACTCGGTTTTTACGGACCGCGATATGCAAAGGAGTGTTTCCTTTATTATCCGCTGCATTGATCAACGAAGAATCCGCTTTCATCAACGCATCCACAATCTCGACATTCTGTCCTTTAACCGCCATATGAATCGCGGTCTGACCTTTCTTATCGACTCTAGTAACCATTCCACCTTTCTTTTCAATCAGCTCCTTCACAATCCTCGTGTGCCCGTTCCTAGCCGCAGAATGCAAAGCCGTTTTACCATTGCTTCTCGCAATAGCAGCTAAATCCACACCTTTATCCAACAAGAAACAAACAATCTCTCCATGTCCTTGCGAAGCCGCCGTGTGAAGCGCAGTCGTTTTAGATGAATCAAATGTAAATGAAAGCTCTGGATTTGCTTCCATTAACACATCAAGAACCTCTACAACAAAAAATCAAGATTCCAAAATCCACATCAAGAACTTCATGTGAAATCTTTGTCAAATTAGCAATTTACACATAATTAGCTTATAAAGTAAATTACAATTTTCACCAAATATGTGCAAAATTGCTAATTGAATCCTAATAAATCTTCATTACAATTAGTGCTAATTGTGTTTGTTCATTGACTAAAACACACGAAATTTTGGGGTCAAACTCACTTAGATTTCCGTTTTTGGCGGCGATGTGAAATGCGTCGAAGCCGTTTTTAGCTTTGGTTGAAGCTAAGACAGAGTCTGAATGTTTCATCAGAATCTTAACCATGTCGGTGTGACCAGACTCCGCCGCTAAGTATAAAGCTGTTTCACCTGACTGGTTTTGCTCCGACAGTAAATCTTTAAGCCTTAAGCCATCTCCGTCGTGTTCTCCGATCATCTCTAGAACAATCTCCGTTTTACCTTCTCTAACCGCCGTGAGTAACGGCGTGTCGTCACGTCTCGTTGTTATCTGCTTCGTCATCGTCTTCTTACTATTATTCCCTTTCATGATTGATGATGATTCTATTGGAAAAAAACACTTCAAAATTGAAAATTGACAAAAACCCAGATCGAATTAGGAACTGTTCATGTGAGAGATTTGAGAAGATGAGGAATAAAATTCGACAAGAGTCACATGTAAATTCTGGAGAAAAAAACAGAGAATATGTATTACTACATGGTTGTTGTGGTTTTGGCTTCCTGTGTTGTTGTATTCGTATCTTAATTATCTTATTACAATAACATGACATCAAAAACCTTAAACAGTACATAATTATCATTTTTCTTTTAGTGTCGACCCAAAACAGTACATAATTATCATTTTTTTTTTGTTTATACTTAAAAAATAATTCGGATTTGAAAACCATAATAGTCTGATCTCAGTTTATTTTTAAACTCAGTTTATTTTTTGGTTACTGAAAAACGAAATAATTCAACCACAGTTGAACTAAAATCTGAATTTAAAACATTGTAATTGATTTTTTCATTCAATAATAATTTTACCAAACGTTTGGGATATATAAGTCAAAAGCTTATCCAGTGAATGACTCTTAAAGTGAGAAGTAGCCTTTTTCAGATTGGAGATTGTTAATCACAGAAAATTATTCTAACTCTAATTTTATAAACAAAACGAGGAAAATGCCAAAAATTATAAGAAAAAGAGGAATACTTTTCTTCATTTACTTTTTCTAGTGCTGAATATCATGAACTTACACAAATTTTTAGTTTTTCACAAAAGTACAAAGGCATAGTAGAGAGACCAAAAACTAATACAACAAACAAACTAGAACAAAGTGAAGTCAGACCAAACTAGGAACGAAGCATGTAACCAAAACTAACAGAATAAACTTTAAATAAATAGTTGAAAGAAATCAACGACTCGAAATGAAGAAATGTTCTTTACGCCACTGAATAGATAAACGAAATTATTGTCATTGGAAAATGACATATGAAGATATTTATAAATGGAGCCTCCATTATTGGTAAGTGTATGTGTGAACGTGGAGAGATAATGGTTTTCCATGGTTAGATAAAAAGTGGATAATAGGTTTCACTTTCACGAGCAAGATTTGTGTTAAAAGTTCGTTAATCTTATCATTTTAACGGACAAATATGGTTCAACGCTCTTCACGTGCTCCAAACGCGAGTGAGACTCTAAATATCGTGTTTATTATATAAGTCAGTGAATACAGTAGCGTTTTGGAATCGTCTACTTAATCTGACCGCATAGCGCAGTGGATTAGCGCGTTTGACTTCGGATCAAAAGGTCGTGGGTTCGACTCCCACTGTGGTCGTCGCTAGGAAAGTTCTTTAGTCTATTTTTCCATTTTGATTTTACTCCCACCTTTTCACCATTTGCAACTGTGTTTGGACCATATGATTTCAATTTAAATGAACCATTTGTAATGTGTTTTATTAACAATCCATAAATGATAAAGCCATAGATGAAAAAGTTTTTAACTCAACTAAAGTAGACAAATCTAGTTGATTCGAGAAACCGCAAGCAAACCGGATAATTGATTCAATATTTATGAAAAAAGCTGAATCCAGAGAGCCAGATTTGGTTGTTCCATAACAAAACTTGAGTAAAAATGAAATGAAAAAGGGAGAACACAAGCGAGTGATCAAAAGCTTGAATCAATTCTACTATAGCTAAAAGCTGGAGAATGAAAGAAACTACACTTTGATAGCATACTTCCTCACTGGGAAATACATCTCCTTCTTCTTCTCACGCTCTGTCTTCAACGAAGCCTGTTATCGCAAACAACAGGAAAATACCAAAGTTACGATCTCTATCATAAAGTTTACTTATAAAGCCATAATACACATGATTCAGAAATTACTGAGCAAAGCTAAAAATTGAACAATTTGATAATAGGAACCAAAGCAAAATGGTAATGAGGGTAAAGACCTGATGCTTAGTAAGACGTCTACGGATAGCTCGTGTCTTCTTGGGACGGAGATCAAGAGGCAAGAACTTCTTGTTCTTGTATGCTTCCCTTAGAGCAAACTTCTGTTTCTGTGAGATCACTGTCAACACCTGAGCAATCGATTTCCTCACAACCTTGCTGAATATCATAAAAGAAAAACACACAATTCCATGAATCAAGATGTTAAATAGAAACCCACGCAAGCAAATATTGTGAAGAAAAAACACACACAAGTCCCCAAATTGAACCTACAAATTCTACTATATCAAATGATGATACAATTGCAAATAAAAGAAAACAGAAACATATGTTAACTTCCTCAAAATGAAGCAAATGTAGATCCATTTATCTATATATATCTACACTTGACATTCTATATACAGAATGTGAATGGATTCCAAATGATAATTACAAATGCAAATCCAAAACAAAGCATCCATGTTCACTACCTCCAGATTCCTCCATTAAACTACTCTAAAAAACCGAAATGAAAAAGTCTCTAATCACTAATTGACCAAATCGAACACACATGTATCATTTTGGATCTGAAGACAAAAAAGACGTACATTTTGGAGAGCTTGTTGGGTGCACCTCCGGTGACTTTAGCGACACGGAGGAGAGCGAGCTCAGCCTTGTTTTCCTTCAAATGGTTCTGAAGATCGATCCTCGATCTCTCTCTAAGCTCATGAACCTTAATCCTCGCT